GATAGCGGCTAAAGGTTACGCCGGGATCCCGGGATTCCGCGGTTTCGACGACGCGAGCCGTATCATTATCGGTATCGCGAGCGTGCGAATGGTTTCCCGGCCGCCTCGTTACCGCCGGGAAGGATAACTCCGTCGGGAGATGTTTATGAGCCTGTCCGTGGATGTGTTTCCAAAGTTGGTTCAAGTTGAACGGGAGTGATTCAGCGAGCAATTCGTGGCAGAGAGGTTGGTGCACGGAGAAAAAAAAAACACGGTTACTCGACGGTTACCACGGTAATAATGTCACATAGGATTCCAAGGTAGTGGAACCGTGGATTTTGGTAATAGTATTGATGAGCACAGGAGCATAACCATGCTCATACACTGGAAAAAAAACACATTGGATCTAGAGTCCAGACTCTTAAAAACAAAAACATGACAAGAAAAAGTACTCTTGATTCAATCAGAATCTAGCTTAAATCAAGAACCAAGCCTCTTAATTAAAGCGGATTTCGTTTTGATTTAAGCAAAAATCCGATTGAATCAGGAGTATTTTTTCTTGTCAATGTTTTCAAGAGTCTGGACTCTAGATCCAATGTGGTTTTTTTTTTCCAGTGGAGGTTGGTGCACGGTGAAAAAAAAAAACACGGTTATTCGACGGTTACCACGGTAATTATGTCACGCGGGATTCCACGGTAGTGGAACCGAGGAATTTGGTAATATTATTGATGAGCACAGTAGCATAACCATGCTCATAATAGTATGTCTGAGTCCACAGTAATATTACGGTGAACAAGGTCATATCACCGTGCTCTTCGTTACAAGAATCAAAATACACGGTTCTCTGGTACCGTGGAATCCCGTGTGACATTACTACCATTGTAACGGTAGAATAACTGTGTTTTTTCTCTTTCTCTGTGTTGATTCTCTCGATGTGTCTCATCAGACTCCCATGGGAGTCTGATGAGACACATCGTCGCTTTCCAACAAAAGTATCACAAGCACCATGCGAAGTTTAAAACTTCCGCCGCCATTTTATTTTTCTTATACAGAAATTGTTCTAGTAAGCTGTCCGAATATTTCTCTGAATTTTATCGGCAGCACAAATACAATCCAGTGAAATTTTAATGATAGTACTTTCTACGGGTGCAATACAGAAATCAATCTGATCAGAAAAAAATGCTCCTCGTTTGAAAACGACAACTTAAAAACGATCCCCGGCTTCGCCGACTGGATTTAAGATACCCTGAATTTTCAAGATTTTTCCTAATGGTGTAAACTGTTTGAGAAAATAAAAGATTGACAAGAAGAATTTACAATCTGATAATTTCACCGAATAGGTGATACAACTTTAACGATATCAGTAATAATTAACAAAAACACGAGCTATACGAAACACTCTGAATACAGCCGTGCTCACGATACGACGGCTAAATGAGCATATTTATGCAAAATGGAACTATGTTGCATGATAACCCTATGCACATAGGTGGAACGCGTTTAGCAGAAAGCTACCACGCCACATCAGCTATTGCCAAATAACTGGGCAATGTAACTTTTTACGAAAGAACGTTTGTGCGGATTCCTTTGAAAATTCTGAGGAATTTGCTTCGTATTGTGCAGAAAATGCACTGCATTTTTGCAAAACAGTCCGGACAACAGTTTGCATGTTAAAATTTAAATTGCCCGATTACATTTGGCAAAAGCTGATGTGGCTTTGTTCCTTTTTGCTTCACACGGTCCAAATGACCCTCGACTCTCTAGGCTTGATTTCAGACACCCTGAATTTTCAAGATGTGTGATTTTTCAACGAAAAAGAGCTGGTATGCGAAATACTCGAAATACAGCGCCAGCAACGGCTATAAATTACGCCTTTACTACGCATTTCCGCCAAAAGGAACTATGTCGAATGCAAATCCTATGCACATAGTTCTTTCTACCATTAGTACGTCCAAATGGACGAAGCCAACATTGCCAGCTCTCAGGGATCGTAACCGTGAAAAACCCACTTTACATGGGGGTAAAATCGAACTGCATTTCCTTCTGCCGGCTCGTATCTTGTCTACTGACCCATTAAATTAGTGAACGGCACTGTATCCTTCCGATGCACATTCCCTTGTCCGCGGCGCACAGTGGATCCAGTCAAAAAGAGAGGTCGGACATGAAATTTTTAGATAATTTTGCAAATTTTGATGTTTGTTTCGTCACATAACAAATTTCATGGGGTGTATTAACCGGTTTTCTGAGCTTTTAAAGTTTCCAACATTTGTCCGACCACTCCATCGACTACTGCAAATTTTGATGATCCATTCGTCATATTTTAAATGAAGATGTTGCATGTGTGAGGAATTTGCGATTTGACTCTTGATACTTATGTAAAAGTTCGCGAGAAACACGGTGGGGCCACTGGTTTTCTTTGAAATCAACTCCCAAGCTCAAAAAAGCTCTCAAGTTGAGGCCGAAATGGAGGGGATATCCCACCCTACCCTGAAAGTCCACCTCTACACCAAGACAAACTCTCCATGCAAATATAGGGATCAAATACAGTAGCAGTGATGCCGTGTTTTCAGTTTTAGAGTCCCCAAATAAAGTGGCAGCTCTGTCAATGTATTTGCTCCCTATCTTTGCATGGAGAGTTTGTTTTGATGTAGAGGTGGACTCTCAGGATAGCATGGGATATTCCCTCCATTTTGGCCTCAACTTGAGTGCTTTTTCTGAGCTTGGGAGTTGATTTCGAAGAAAACCAGTGGCACCATCGTGTTTCTCGCGAACATTTACATAAGAATCAATAGTCAAATCGCAAATTCCTCACACATGTAACATTGTAACATCTCCATTATAAGGGACGCGTAACGACGAAAATTTCACGAAGAAACCAATGGAACCACTATCAGAACCTCAAAGTTATGTATTAACCGGTTTTCTGAGCTTTCAAAGTTTCCAAATTTTGTCCGACCACGCCATCGACTACTGCAAAATATGATGATCCATTCGTCACATTTTAAATTATAAGGAACGCGTAACGAAGAAACCAATGGAACCACTTTCAGAAGCTCAAAGATTTTGTATTAACCGGTTTTCTGAGCTTTGAAAGTTTCCAAATTGTATCCAAACCCCCGTAGACTCGATCCATTGTGCAGCGACGGCTCGCGCTCCTCTCCGTGTTCCAGGCAGCCGCGAACGGTGAAACACCCACCCCCAAGGGACCCCCCATCCCCTCCGGGCTAAAGGGGGAGCGGGGGGTGGATTATATCCTTGTCAGGCGCACTTGCGACCGGTTCCGGCGGAATAAATTAAGTCGCCCCGCTCGAATTTCCGTGCCATTTACCCGATCCCGATCGCGCGAGCGAGAACATACGGCGTTCCTACCCCGGCCCGGCCGGATCCTCCGGTGCAATTTGTAATTCGGTACCGCCGCCCGTTTTTTCGCAACCCCCCCCCCCCCCCCCCCCCCCCCC